CACCTTCGTTGGCTTTCGGTGGGTTACGGACCGGGATTCGCATCCGGCGGAGGTTCGCTTGGGAGCGTCGAGCCCTCGATACGTTATTTCAAATAACAAAATTTTGTTGTTTTACATGCAGATGGGCGCTCTCGGATAACAAAGTGCTTTCTAAGGGAGCTCTCTTCCCATCCCATCCGATTTCATGTGTTTAACATAAATCTGTTTATCTGCCTCAGAAAAGCCGGGGACTCGCTGCGTCGTTGCTGCACAACCTCCGTGTCCATCCCCAACGGAGCTGTGCTCTGTGCAGCCGTGCAGCAGCGGCGAAGCCGAGCGAGCGGCCGATGCACGGAGCTGGCCAGGGGCACGGTGGGGCTGCAGAGACGGGCTGGGGATGTGCAGCATCTCCCCTTCCTCTCCTCGCTGCCCACCCCTCTTTTCTTTCTGTTATCGCTTTCCAGCCTCCAAGCTGTTATCACTTTCTCTCTTAATAAGTGTGAAATGGGAGCCTCTGGGCACCATGAAACCATGACTCCTTCTTGTCTTTGTGTTAGCTCCTGGACAGTTAGAAATGTTTTTAATGTCATTTTTTTAATAAGATGGTAAAATTGATTCTGTTTCTCTTTCCCATTGAGGTGCTTTCTGCTGTTAGTTGATGCGTTATGGTCTTTGTTTCCTGTGGCTTTGCTGAGCCTGTTCCAGGGCGTTTGCTGGGTTAAAACCAGTAAGATATTGCATGGGAAGAGCAGCGTCACCGACCTTCCCAGACAAGCAGCACCTCCAGATTTGGTACCAAGTGATCTACCCAAAGCCAGGCCATCAGGTTTTGTCATCATGATTTCTTTATTAATTTTTTCTCCTTCATTGGTCAGGTGGGGAAGAGCAGATTGTTTCTTAAAAACATCACTCGCTCTTCATTTCTTTTTAAAATTGGATTTGGTTCAATCAGCGATTTGTGCAAGAGGTCGGCCGGGCAGCAGGATGCAATCCAAAATCCTTGCTTTGTCTAAAAGCAAGCAGCTGCTGCCTCCTCCCTGTTTCACCCCTTTACCCTGTGACGCCAGGGCGATACCCTGATACCAGGGTGATGGCCGCACTGCCAAGATGCTCGCAGGAGAGGGGCACATTTCCATACGGATTAATCTGGGATTTCTGCAGCTTTTGGGTAACAAAAGCAGGATCTGTCCGTTTAGGCGGGTGCTGTGTGGAGTGGGGTGCTTCTCTGCTGTCTGCAGATACCAATTTTTTCACACGCGGGGCCGTGACGATCTAACGACCTTTGTTTTAACTCCGCGAGCAGAGACGAGTGCGGCGGGGACTCCCGCATCCCAGAATAGTTTTCCTCCAAGCTCCACAGGTCTTCCTGTCCAAGTCTCTCGTTGCATCGGGCTTTTTGAAATAATCAGCCCCCGTGGTTATTTCAGTTAACGCTAATTAGTGGCATGAACTAATTAACGTGGGTTGACTTTCCTCTTCTCTTTCTAATGCTTTTTTAACCCACCGACACGTTCCAATTAAGGGACTCATGCAGGGACCGGGCTGAAATGACTCAGAGCAATCACAGTTGGAATAAATTGTGTGCTTTACTGAAGGTCACTCACATTTTTTCAAATTGCTGGTGCTGTGTATTTGTGCCTCCCAACAGGGAGGTGACCTGACCTTACAATAAGCATCTGAAATATCTTCAAGTTTGCCTCCGTTCCGGCGCGAGCAGATGTGCGGGTACCACGTTTGATGTGTCGAGAACGGTGGCACAGAAAACAGCCGTGGGAGGGTCCTCATCAGGACTGCAGACCTTGAGGCAAGTGGGCTTGACCTTGCACGGGCCTTGCTTGTTCATCCATGCAGCTGTGTGGTGGTGAAAGAGCATTTGCTGAATGGTACCCGCCTGCTCGTGCTCGTACGGGTGATTTCTTTTCCCCGTGGTTGGGTGGTTGTGACTCGCAGAGCCCCGTGGGCTCTGGCCGTGCCCTGGGCTCGCTGCCCTGCCTCTGCTGACGAGGGGCAGCTGCCTCTGGGCTGGGGGAAAGCCACGAATCCGCTGGTGATAAAGCTGCAAAGCTGCTGTTGCAGTGTTGGTAGCTCGTTGAATAATCTGCTGGTAGGAGCTGCGTGGAAGGAGAGGCTTCTGCTCTGTAAAACCCAGCGTTCCCCAAGTCCGAGGTGAGAGCAGTGGCAGGGGGGAGGCAGCTGGCAGCTGGAGCGGGGCTGGAGAGCCCTGTGCAGCACTTGCAAATCCTTCCTATGTCCTTAAAGTTGAGACTTTACTTCTGCAGTTTCAAATTTCCATCCTTGCCTCATCTTGGGTTGGTGTTTTCCAGAAAGCGATGCTACTCGCTTTCCAGAGATGAAACCCTTTTAGCTTCAGCAGAGCTGGACTCTCCTGGATAACAGGAGACCACGCTGCAGAAGAACCAGCAGCAGAGTGAGCCTGTGAGTTTCCATCCTTGGTCTCTTCCTGCCTTATCTGAGTCGGGGCATGATGCTGAAGTTCCCATCTTTCCTTGCTATGTCATGTCATCCAGGTTTTGCTGGAAAACACTTGTGTTTCTACCTGCTCTTCCAGCTACTGCTGGTGAGATGAGGTGCAGAGCTGCCGGTGTCTCTTGTGGGCAGGGACGGTGGGGTGGGTCTCCATTGTCTTGGGGGGGATTTAAACCTGAGCACCTCATCCGTGCATCCTGTAATTGCTGGGTTAACAGAGGTGAAAGCACTCTGATTCAACTGCAGTGGAGAGCAGATAGCAAATATGTCATTAGTATTAATAGCCCTGGTCAGACTAGATTATGTAAATGATGGGAGACTAGACGATTTGGTTATTCATCTTTAACCTTTATTTTTGTTGAATGTGACCTTACCCATCGAATCTCTCGTTACCGTCTCTGACTGTTCAGCGTATGGTCGTTTATTCTGCTGCCATCAATCCAACAGCTACACCCATGTTCCCAGCTGATGATGCTGGGTGCAGCCTGGACACCCTCCTTCCAGGTGCTCCCGGGGGCCGGTTCCCTGCCCTGCGAGGAGACGGGTGCTCGGGGTCCCGCTCCCCGTGTTTTGGGTAGAGCTGGTTACACCAGGGCGTACAGCTGCTGCTGTGGGACACGTTCCCTTCTCTCAGCTGTGCTGTTATGCCTCTAACCCCATGTTTCCTATTGGTTTTGTAGCTATCTCCAGTGGGTTTGAGCAGCCTGTGGACATCCGGAGATGTGCACCTTTCTACCGCGTGTCTGGCACTGCGGGGGAAAGGCAGAAACAGTGTTTTCCAGGTTTTGGTGTTTGTTTGTTTTTTTGTTTTTTTTTTGGCTGATGCAGATGAAGTGTCTGGTGCATCCTTGAGTCACGGCTGCTTTTCACAAGCCGTGTCCAGGGTGGCAGGGAATTACTGGTGGGAGCAGCGTGGTCCCTCTTGCCGTGGGCTGTCTGCTCCTGTTCCTTGTGGACTTCACACATCGCTGGACAGCATTGGTTTTGGCTGTCCCTCTCTGCTTTCTGGAGGTTACAAGTGGTGTAGGAATATATTCCAAGTGAGTCTGAGTTGCATCGGGCCATCTGGATGAGTCCCACTGGAATAACACTGGGTGGTTGTGAACGTCGTGTTCCCTTTGATGCTCGAACGGGTTCAATTTTGAAGGAACTATTTCCCTTGCAAACTCAATCCGTATGAAAGATACGGTACCCTGCTGCAAAATAAACTTCTGCAGAGGTCAGCCCAGCAGCCCGACCCTCTGCCAGCAGCTCAGCAGTGCTGATGGCAGTGAATGTCCCTCCTTGTCTGCTGGTCTCCTCCAGGTTGACTTTGGAGGGAGCTGCCTTTATGGAATTGCATTTCCTGCTGTTAATGCACCTGAATTTTGGCTTTCCCTTTTTAGCCCCGTGCTTCTTGGCCCACAGCTCCTCCTAACTCTGTTCTTGATGTTTCTGCTGGAAATGCACGTTTAAATCTAAACGTCTAGACAGTGTGGAGAGAGAGGGGGGGTACCCAAAAGACACGTGTCCCTGCAGCCCTGAGAAGCTGCTGTGGCACGTGCCCCGATCGGCTCTGCAACCGCACAGATGCCAGAGCAGTCCCCGAGGATGGGGCTGGGAGAAGGCTGATGGGGAGGGGTGGGAAAAGCCTTCAATTTCTCTCTTGCCTTGCAGGGTTTCAGCGGACCCCCCCACGCTGCCTTTGCCTTGAGCTGCGACCAACGAGCGGCGAAAGAAAAATATGAGCATGAATCTGCCCATCAGCTGGACTACGAGAGCGAGTTGTCCATCCGGATAGGTAGAGCTGGGCTCCATCCAGGCAAGCATCCTGTCATATACCAGCCACAGAGTGCACGGGGAAAATACCCCTGTTAAACTGTCACGTATGTGATTGAAATTAGATTGGTTTTGACATGTGCATGCAAAGTGCACCTTCTCTTCCTTCTCTGGATCTGTCTCCCTGCTGGCTCTTATTCCAAGAATCATTACTTCTGTTTCTACTTCAGTTCTCAAAACCACTTGCACATCTGCCTGTGCCTGTGAATTATTGATAATTAGATATCTCATTCACCAGGGAAATGAAATCATCAGCTTAGCTTGAGATAAGTTTATTTTCAGCGTGGGCACAGCGAGCGCTAACCCTGCCCTTGCCAAGTTATGCCACGGTGAAGGTGCCCCACTACGCTGACCCTCGGTGGCCCTCCCTAATTATAGCCTAGGACTGGCAGTCCTGCTGTCACTCCTTGTTTTGGAGGTCAGTAGGATTGTAGCTGCCAAAGCCTGGAATAAAATGTCTTGTTGGCAGCTATTTCCTCCTTAAATAGACTTTGAAGAAAGAACTTCTGAGTCAAGGTGGTGGAACCTCATCAGGCTTCCCCAGGCCCAGGGTGTGGACATGGGACGGGTGGTGGCCACCCCTGTGCCTGGCTGCAGTTTTCTATTCCTCTACTTAACAGCAGCTTTTCAATAGACAAAGAAAATGTAATTTAGTCAATTAATCTTATTGCTCCTCTGCTTTTTCTTAGTTGGAGAGAAACTGAAATAGCAGTTTATGATATCTTGAGTACAATTGGGAGCAGACTGAGATGAAGGAAGGATCCTTCTTTTCACAAAGAATAGTGCTTAGCTGCCTAAATCAGGCTCCGTTATTTAACTGCACTGCTTAATTGCATGTTTCATAAAATGTTTCAAATCCACAGGATTTTTCAGGACTTGAAATACCCGCTTGGGTTTTTCCAGAGAGATGGAAGGAAGTTTTCTGCCAGACTCAATGGGCTTTGAGTCCTGAATGTCTTTTAGCTCCTGGGGCAAGTGCAACCTTAAAGCCTGCTCCAGCTGTGCAGGCTGGAAGGCTGTTGCAAGGTTTTAGATATTTTTGTAAGGTGGAAACTTTACATCCCAGGTGCAATTTAATTTTATTCTTCAAGAAAAAAAAAGTGGGCAGCCCTGCGATTTTCAGAAACTTAAGCTGCTGAGTTTTATGTTTTCATCTTCTCTTAGTTGCAAACAATAACAGTGCAAATGGTTTTGAGAATAGAAAATTTCCGTTAGACTTTGTTGGTTTTTCTCTCTCTGGGGAAATGATATTAAGAATCTACAATACATTAATTCTTTTGTTGTCTCTTGCTATTTTTTTTTATTTTATTTTTTCCTTACGGAAATGAACTCAGTATTTTCACAAGATACTTCAAGCCTTCCAAGAAGGCAGCTTTCCCCAGCTCTGGGTACTGCTTGGCTGCACTCTGGGGAACGCTCTGGAAACATAATGGGTATTTTCGAAGTCTAATGGGTACTAAGTGGAATATTTCAGACTTAATCACTGTTGAATCATTGACCCTTCCTTCATATTTACATGTTTGAAAATCGCTAAAGCTGTGAAAACAACAAGAAAAAAAAAAAAAATCCCAAAGCGCACCGCTGCCTTGTTTTGCAGTTGTCTTTGCTGCCTGGGGATGGTGGTGAGGAGCAGGGGAGCTGGGACAGGGGTGGCTGGAGAACGTGTGAACACGCAGCTCTCCAGGGCCCTGCGTGGCTGAGGTCTTTGCTGTTGGAGATTTAAACATGTATTTAACGTGGCTGCGTGAGAGGTCGGGAGCAGAAGCGACTGTGCGGACACGCCGGGGCGGTGGGATCCTTGTAGCTGCCCTAAGCAAGTGAGAAGGTTTGTTTTAAACCTGTGGGAATGGAGATGGAGGAAATGTAATAGTTCAACCTATCCTTTATCTACTCTGTTGGGAGGAAAAAAATTCTCATTCCGCTTTTCCCCCTAGTCAGCAGCGTGCTTGGGTGCCTCTGTTCTTCCCCATCATCCCAAATCCCTCGGTTTCCCATCGCTTGTGAGTTGTTTGTAGGGAGCGAGGGAGCACAGTACCATCTGGACGGGGCTGGGAGCCCCCTCTCTCCCTCCTCTGCTCCCCTTGTCCTCCAGCTCCTCTCCAGCCTGCTGCCACCGTGCCAGTGTGGGCATCGATGCTGAATTGAAACGAGGTGTTTTTTGGGTTTTTTTGGGAGTTACTAACAGCTGGCTGCCTCGTGGATGCGGGAAGTAAGGCACACGTATCCATGTGGAATGGAGTACGGGTGGGTTTGGTATGAATTGCAGTGAAGAGTCTGTCTAGACTCGGTATTTGACGAGTAGGATAATCACTCGGCTTTAATTACTGCAAATGAGAGAGAACCCAGACGTGTCTTTAATATATCTGGGTAGGCAAGGGACGTAATCCGTGTTTCTCTGCCTCCCTTGGAACAGATTGGGATAAGGCTGAGGAGGGTTTGCTCGTTCCTCTGGGTGCAGGTGGAGCCCTCGCCGGTGCCGTGGAGGGACCTGCGGGCTGTGCCCTCCCTGCTGTGGGGGCTGCGGGCTGCCCTGGTCCCTAAATCTCCTCCTGTGGCCCCGAGGATTGAGTCCGTAGACATTAAAACCCGTGGAAATAGTTTCAGCAGGGTCACCGCGGGCTGCGGGGCCGGGAGGCCAGGTTTGACCCCCGGAATCGTAGCTACGTGCGCGGTGTTCTTGGGTAGTTCTCCGAAAGGATTTACATACAGCATCGCGCCTCGAAACCTGAGCCGTGACTCACACTCCTACAAACTGTCTATTCAACAGCGAGGCATGTGGGTTCTTCGTCGTGTCCTGGTGCCAACTGATTCACGTCGCTCCAAATCAGATCACGGAGTGGGAACGCAACGATGCTCCCTAGCAGCCTCCTCCCCTCTTGCTTTGACATCCTCGCCACCCTATTGCGGGTGGGAGATCTCGTGTCCAAGGAGATGCTTCCCAGGTGTGCTGGGGCATGGGATTTCTCAGCGATGTCTGTGCCAGGGGCACGTGCAGCGCTGCCAGCGCTGTGAAGTCACTGACACTATTAAGGGGAATCTGGGTTCGTTTTGATGTCTGGATTGACTTTTGGCAGGGTGTGGTGTAGGAAATGGTGCTGCAGCGTTCCTGCATAGATGTTCGGTACGTAAATCCGGATGGGCTTAGTAATTGGAAAGAGATACTGGTGTTTGAAATAGCGTACTCAAGAAATGAAATTTCATTCAACTTCTTATTTAAATGAGCCATGAGGTTTGGGGGAATCTTAGAGAAACCTCGTTGCATAGAATTTGTGGTTTTTTCCTAAAATTTGAATGGCTGCATCAAGCCAGCTGCAATGTCACAGAGGCTTGGGCGGCATTTCAGCCGGGGAAGCCCCTGGCACAGGGGAGGTGGGTGGGCTGGGGGCACCACTGGCACCAGACCCGGTGTGGGTTTGTCCTGCCGCGCTGCCTGAGACCCTCTGGACCCGTTTCAGCAGCATCACTCAGCCTCTGCTCTAATTTTCTGCCTCCTTCCTGAGGCTGTCATTCTTTTTCCATTTGTGCTTTATTTTTCCCCTTCAAAGGAAGTTACCGTGTACTGGGGCTGCTGGAGCGGACGGCACGGGGAGGGAGCAGACCCGGCTCATGCAGCATCTCTTTCATCAGTGCCCAGGCGGTTCAAGTCCTGTAATGATGTAGTAAACTGATGAAAGGGAGGAAGGGAGCTGGGGAGATAAAAGAAGAGGCAAAACCCCTTAGGGTGTGTGAGCTGAGCTGTGGAATTGGTACCGGCGCATCAGGCAGAGTATGGGTATGGTTTGCCTCTGTCTCTGGTTGTGTCCCTGCAGCCAGAAAATTCACTTTTTGCTCTGTTATTGCTACGGTACCGGCTGGTTTCAGAAAGTCCAGCCTGATTCCAGCTTTTCAGGCTCCCCTGATCCACAGCCTTGCCCTGGTGCCAAGGGGAAAACTCCTCCATAGAAATGGCCAGTTGCCATCATAAGAGCATGAGCGGTTTGCTGACACTTACCCTGTAAATTTTCTCCTTGTTCCCTCCTTCCCTGAGCAGAAGCAGAGGCCGTGAAGGAGGGATGATGTATAAAGCCTCTCCAGCCATGAAACCCGTCGTGATTCATTGGGGTAATATTCAGCCGGAGCCTCGCGCGCGCATCCGAAAGGTTCATTAACTCATTGCAACGTATATAACGCGAGGCTCCTCCTGCAAAATGGGCTCTTCACCAGTTCTGGATGGTTTCAACTTTATTTGTAATAATGTTGACACATTCGCGCTGTGCTTGGTCCAGAAAACTGCTGCATTCAAAAGGCATCAATTCATTTTGAGTTTTAATAGCCAGCCTCGATGGTGAACGCCTCTGGCAACGTCTGTATTGATTTAAAAACATCCTAATGCCCCTTTCTGGGGCGTTTCAAATGGTTATTGACCATCCTTGTCAGGCTGGGTTCCATGGTTGGTTTTTTATAGTTATGACTAAATGTGAATTCATGTACACAGAGCTTCAGATAAATAAGTGAAATCAGGGCATGTAATCCCTCATAAACTGATGAAATGTCTTCTTCACACCTAGGTCTGTACCCCCATTATCCTGGTCGCAGCCTGACTCTGTGGATTAGGAGTTTTGACCTTACAGGGTTAAATGCAGCCTGGTGGTTCGTTCGCCTTTACTCTTGGTTGTTGTCGTCACCGGGCGTAAACGTCTTTTTTTTTATTATTATTTCGCTTTCCAAAATGTGTGTAAAAATGTTTTGGATATATTTGCAGAGGACCCAGTTCTGCACACCTACACTTATCACAGCCTGCAGTAAACAAACCACCCAGTTCAGGCGGTTGCTCTGGGTGGAAGTCATTCGGATTTCCAACTCCAGACAGCCTGACCCTAAGGAAATGTCACCCCGTGACCTGCTGGGACAGAGCCCTGGCTCTGGGTGACGGGTGCTGTGTCAGGACTGCCCTTCTCCATCCCGAGGGCTCTCAAGATGGGATCTTTGTGTCGCATATCCCAT